ACTTCTGGGTGTCAGCTCCTCTAACACTGAACATCACCCAAATGTCTACCCTCTTGTGACTCTCCTACACTCATGCCCCCTTCCCTCCCTGACTGCAGTGTGCATGAGACCCAGGAGCTCCAGATGGATACACATGATTGCAAGACAGCCTGTACGTGTTCTCGATGATGCCCTCTTCACTGACATCCACAAAGATCTGCTGCCCACACACGGCACACATGCTGTCCGAGAGGTGTTTGGTAGGCATGCCTGACTCGCTGTAGAACTGGGAGAGAAGAGCACAAGGAAAAGATAGGAAATATGTGAGAATCAACCAAAGTGGGAAGCTACCAAGGAGGCCTTAGGTCTTCCAGAGAGAAGGCAAAGTGGCAAGGGAGGTCAAAGAGCTAGAAAACATTTCTATACAGTAAACCGACCTCATCCTTGTTGGGTGAATGAGGAGAAAGGGACAGACCAGAGATGGGTCAGGAAGTCAAACCTAACAGGACCTGAAGACTGGGATGGGTTAACATCAGGGACAAGGAGAATGTGAGGGAGAAGGGCTCAGGGTGGTGACCAGGAGCTATGTCAGGTAGGCCATGCTGTGGCCAGACTATGATGCTAGCAGACATGGACAACATCTCTAAGATTCAAAAGAGCAATATCCAGAGCATGGTGGTGATAAGGGTGTTCTCAGACACTTGTGGCTGCAGCAAAGGAGGTGCAATCCTTTCGGGCAGCATTTGGCATAATATCTCATACTGTCACACACTTTAGCCATTAATTTCACTTCAAGGAATTTAAGGAAATAAAAACAAATGTCAAAAAGCTTCATGCAACCCTGGCCAGTGTGGCTCAGTTGGCTGAGCATTATCCCATGCACTGAGTGGTTCAATTCCTGGTCAGAGCACATGCCCGGGTTGTGAGCTTGACAGTCAATGTTTCTCTCTCCCTCTCCCTTCCTTTCTCTTTAAAAGTGAATAAAAACATTTAAAAAAAAGCTTCACCATATAGATATTCATTTAGGCATTATTTATAATTAAAGAAGCAAAGAGTTTCATAATTCCTCTAAAAGTTAAACAAGAATCACCACATGACACAGCAATTCCACTCCCAAAAATGAAAACGGACTAAACACATGCTTGTGTGCTAATGCTCATCACAGCACTACTCACAATAGTGAGAGGTGGAAACAATCCCTGTGTCCATCAATAAACAGGTGTAGCCCTAACCGGTTTGGCTCAGCGGATGGAGCATCGGCCTGCGGACTCAAGGGCCCCGGGTTCAATGCCGGTCAAGGGCCCCGGGTTCAATTCCGGTCAAGGGCCCCGGGTTCAATTGTGGTCAAGGGCATGTGCCTTGGTTGTGGGCGCATCCCCAGTGGTGGGTGTGCAGGAGGCAGCTGATCGATGTTTCTCTCTCATTGATGTTTCTAACTCTCTATCTCTCTCCCCTCCTCTCTGTAAAAAATCAATAAATCAATAAAATATATTTAAAAAATAAATAAACAGGTGTATAAACAAATGTGATATGTCCACCCAATAAAATATTGTTCAGTCATTAAAATAATGAAGTTCTGACACATGCTACAACACACATGAACCTTGAAAACATTATGCAAGGTGAAATAAGCTGACACAAAAGAACAAATATTATATGACTCCATATATAAAATATCTAGGATAGATAAAAATAGATAAAAAAGATCACTCTGTCTTCTGTGTGAAAAATGAATTGGAGATGAGGCAAAAAGGCTTTAGAAAGACCAGCTAAGAGACCATTATAATTCTCTAAAAGCAATGGATCATGGAGGCTATACTAAGGTGATGGCTTGGGCTAATTTGATGGCAGTAAAAACTTCTCTCAGACTGATGATGTCTAATAGACCATTGAATAATAACATTCTACTGTTCAGAAAACAGTTTTGGATTAGAAATCTGGAATCCCTGGACAAAGAAAAGTGAACTATCCAGGTTAAGAGTAGAAAAGATGACTTAGATTTGAACTTAGAGGAACAATAACATTTAAGTGAAAGAAAAATTAGCAGAAGAAACAGAAAATACCAGTGACAAAAAGAAAACCAGGACTGGGTAATGTTGTGAACTCTGCAAAATGCTTTACATTAACCTATTCCTTACAATTCTGTAAGACTGGTAGTATTACTACAGCTAAGAAAACAAGACCAGAGAGGTAAAGTAACTTGCTCAAGAGTACACAGCTAGCCCTGGCTGGGTAGCTCAATGATTAGAGCATCATCCTATGCACCAAAAAGGTTGTGGGTTTGAAACCTGGTCAGGGTGCATACAGGAGGCAACTGATCAATGTTTCTCTTTCTCTCTCCTTCGCTCCCTTACTCTCTGTCTAAAGGCAGTAACAACATAGAGACATATGTAATACTTTCAACAATAAAGATTAAAAGAATAAATTTTAAAAAGAGAGAGATTATAGCTAATTAAAAGTGGATTAGAACTTGAAACTAGGTCTGACTCTTTCCACTACTTTAAACCAGATGAATGGCTAGTCCTGTCTTGATGCTATCTGGGCCACTGATGATCCAAGAGGTAACTCTGGGGCACAAGAACTTGCTTAGAAGATAGAAAATGTGAGGTTAAAAAAAAAAAGTGTGAGATAGAGCTTTGGCCAGTGTGGCTCAGTTGATTGGAGCATCGTCCTGTACACCAAAAGGTTGCAAGTTCAATTCCCAGTCAGGGACATATCCAGGTTGCAGGTTCCAGCCCCAGTCCGAGCAAAAACAGGAGGCAACCAATCAATGTTTCCTCTCCTCTCCCTTCCCTTCCCCTCCCCTCCCCTTGCCTCCCTTCCGCTCCCATCCCCTTCCCTCCCCTCCCCTCCTCTCTTCTCCCCTCTCTTCTCTAAAAGTCAATAAACATATCTTCAGCTGAGGACTAAAAGAAATCCACAAAAAACAAAAAAGTGTGAGGTACACCCACTGGAGCATGAACAGTGTGTGTTACTGCCCTGCCTGGAAGAAGCCCCAGAAAATAAGCTTATTTCACAATCAAGGAAACCATACTGACTGGCTGTCACAAGTTTATGATCTCATAGTGACCAGATGGGAAAAGAACAAACATCCAAGGTTCCCTAGACTCATCATCTACACTAATAAAATAGAAAAATGGTAATTGGCGTACGACGCTACCCTTTTCATTGGCTAATCAGGGCTATATGCAAATTAACTGCCAACTAAGATTGGCAGTTAACTGCCAACAAGATGGCGGTTAATTTGCATATGTAGGCACAATGCAGGGAGGCGAAAGGGAAAGCAGGAAGA